AGGAAAGTTTTGAATATGGCAGACAAAAATCACTCACGCGTATAAAAAGACGTATAACCTTTTTGTTACTGGACATAACATAGGCATGTTGCATATGAAACGAAAGGTCTTGACAAATGCTACAAGCTTGTACTGTCAAACCCAGAGTGAAATCACTCATGCGTAAAGAACATTAAAATAACTAAAATAAGCTTACCCCAGTCTTTACTCCTCGCCTATCAAACTATTTATGACGAGTAACGACAGGTTTAAACCGGTATTGCTATTTTTGATCAGCCAATGAAATTGATAAACGATGACGTCTAAAAATAGACAACCTCGTTTTGAACCCACTCTTTTTCATTAACCAATGAAAAGTGGAGAAGGAGGTATGGATAAATTTTGACATAAAAAACGCCTTTGCAACACTTTACGATATCGATTTTCAAGATATTTGTTTCATTTGATAGACCTAAGCAAATGCTTCAAAATAAACCCTAGGTTCTCGATTCGTTTTTTAGCCGTTTTCGAGTTATGTCCCTTTAGCGATTTTTAAACAAATTTTTCAAAGTTCATAAAACCCTTAGATTTATATGCCGTTTGAAAGATCTCTGCGAGTAGATACAGAAAATGTATTATTATATGGATCTATCTTTTACTGTTTCTGAGATAGGAGAGTTTCAATATGGCAGAAAAAATCACTCATGCGGAAAAACGCGCATAACTTTTTCGTTTATGAACGAAACATAGTCGTGTTTGGTATCAAATTGAAGGTCTTGACGAGTACATTTTAGTCACGCGATCAAACCGGATGTTAAGTCACTCGTGCGTGAAATCCATTTTTCTCCCCAACCAACGGACCGATCTTATAAATACCTGTATCGAACGAAAGGTATTACCACCACCACCACTACCACCACCACCACTACCACCACCTCCACCACCACCACCATCACCTCCACCGCCACCACCACCACCACCTCCACCACCACCACAACCGCCACCACCTCCACCGCCACCACCACCACCACCTCCATCATCACCACCACCGCAACCACAACCATCGTCACCTGGTAGTGGTGATGGTTCCATCACCACCTGGTGGTGGTGATGGTAGTGATGGTAGTGGTGGTGGCGGTGGTGGCGTTGGTGGTGGTGGTGGTGGTGGTGGTAGTAGTGGAGGTGGTGGTGGTGGTGGTGGTGAAGGTGGTGGTGGCGGTTGTGGTGGTGGTGTTGGTGGTGGCGGTGGAGGTGGTGGTGTTGGTGGTGGTTGTGGTGGTGGTGGAGGTGGTGGCGGTTGTGGTGGTGGTCAGTTGAAAAGCCACTTCTAAAACCTTACTGAAACTGCCTGACCATGACTCGAACCCATGATTTTCAGAGGACCAACTGAGCTATCCGGCCGGCTTCACATTTTCTCTTTAATAATGAAACAGTTCTAAACCACAACATATTTCTTCACTACTAGTAACCATTTGTTTAATTTACGCATTGCCCTAGTTTTTGTAGACAAAACGTTTGAAACTGTTAAATGGTGATTTAATCTTGATCTGTTCTCAACTCTCTTTTGACCTGTGAAATAAAACTATAATTAAAACTTTTACTGGCCTGGTTAAAGTTTCATATTGATAGTAGTTCTCTTTTGTTCTTATTGTCAGCCGCAATATACTTAATTGACACTTCTTTTTAAAAGTAACAATGAAGTGTTTTTTTTTGTTGAAAATAGACGAAATATAATATAAGATAACAATCTGTTAACCTCAAGAAATATGTATACTGACAGAAGGTCCACATACAGTACATGAGACAAAGGCGGACATTACAGTCATAAAAATGTCCGCAATCCACTCTTTTTTATCCACCATACAGTGTTAAATAAAATACAGTGGGTAACCACGTGTAACTGAACTGTAAACAGCATTTAATATCAAATATGGCTGGAGTCTAGTGATATTGCATAATATTTTTTCTTATAAATGAATATCGCTTTTTATATTTAAGAATAGTGATTTATGTACACCAACCTGTGTCCTTAAAACACGAATGGACTTTTCCAAATTCAAAGGTTGACGGCTCCGTTACTTGATTTCACCTTGTTAAGGAAATTCAATACTCTATCTAAAAATACATCCATGCAAAACATATTAGGAAACCAGTTTTCAAATCGGCGATTTTTCAAGTTTTTACACTTTTATGCTTTGTAGATTAAAGAATTATAGTACCAGAAGCTTCGACATAATATATCAGGTATTATACTAAGATTTAAATCATCCACAACCTTTTCTGATTTATTGAATTAAAACATATTTTATTGAAAAAGGATGTATAAATGTAGACCGTTGTAAGGTATAATAACGAAGTTGATGATTGATTGGTTTATACATTGTTATTTTTTCAGTTAGAACAATTGTATTTTAATCGATAGTGGTTCGACAAAAATCATTCCCTTTTACAATGTCATTTAAACATTTTGATAAAGGAAAACAATTAAAGTATTGAAAATTGTTCTCGGATATTAGAATTAAGATATTTTTGTAACTAAAATGTATACAACTTAGCCGGCATATGACATATACCGGTGCAAGGTTTCTTCGATGAATAATCAAAACACGAATCATTACAAAAGGTAATCTTTCAAATTTATTGCAGTATATTTGAAGAAATTAATTCTTTTTTTAAAGTGACTGTACAATTGTGCATTTTTTGCGCGGACAGATTACACTTGACAATATTTGTAACTCGTTCCGAACAAAATCAATACACACTGATAAAGTCGATACTAAAAATATTGATAGACTATGTCACAGTCGGAAATCACTTTTATTCGCATTGCATTTCATGAAAAATGAGTGAATAATTATGTTTTTTTTTTCAAACGATTAAATTGCTTTTGTAAATAATAATTGCTTTGTGTCTTTAAGCATACTTATTGTTATTCATGTTTCTTGCTTTCTCACGATACTGCATCGATGACCTTGCTATCCATTCATATGTTTATTTAGTGACTCTCTGTTAAGTGGTTGCCTGATTGTAGATGGTGAATTTGGCTTATTTGTTTCTTTCTCCCCTACTTTTTTCATCATATGTAGTCCTATAACCAATACTAAATTGTAGATGATACAACAAGTAACAATCTCTGTGAGTTGGTGTAAATGTGTGCTTGTTGATAATCGAGACACATTACAATTTGTTTCATAAATTAAGGAACGTTACAAGTTGATTCATACTAAGACACGTTACAATTTGATGCAATAAAATATATAAATTTATCCCAAAATTGTAACAGTGTTTACCTAACTTTTAACCTTTTGGAACAAAACCTGATTGTAGCCTTTGTCATCATCATATATTTCAAGCGAGGCTGCATGACCGTTAAGGTTGACCAGCCTTTTTTATTGATAGCCTAAAAGTATACATATAGCCAAATATAAACCCCCGCCAAAATAAGTACTTATACATACATTTTCACCAAAGGTTATTTTATAAACAATTTATATACAAACACATAGAAAATAATAATTAGTTTCACATATTGATTAGAAGATTCCTCTAGCTGAATACCTGTAGGTATGTACTAACTGAACAAACTACATGTAGAAAAATCCTGGTCTTAGGTATATAAAGCCAGTAAAAAAATCTATCAATATTCACTTAAAGCCAGTAAAAAAAATCTATCAATATTCACTCATCAGGGCCTCTATGCTTTTGATGACCTTACAACTGGCACATTTTATACAACAAAAATAGTAAGTAATACCTAAGATAGACGGAAAAGAACAAATAATTTAGTAAACATGAGTTACTTCCCCTTAAAATAGAGAAAACATGAAACCCAAAAGAACACCATAAACAGCAAAAATGAAATGTTGCAGGCTCAGTTTTATTAAGCCATGCAAATTAGTGGTGAAGTATTCATAAAAAAATGGCCATAAGCAGTAATTGCAGAAAATCGGATAGCTTTCAACATCCGGATGCTGGTAAAAAACAACCATTCTGTACAACAGATAAACGTAATTTGAATAAAATCAATAGGATAATCGTTTACAACAGTTCATTACCTATCATAATACTCATTTGCAGGTGAACTTTCTTCTTGTAAGAAAATTTTGAAAATATATAAATGAATGAATGAATGGATACGGCATCAATGTAGACCACAACGATATTCGAAATACGGGTTTTAGTATTGTTAATAAAACTAAGGGACAAGCTGTTAAATTGAGCTTGCAATTTCGTGAAAATAATATCACAATGCACATGCTTTTTACATAAAGTTATTAAATACAAATATAACAACATAGTTGTTTACTTGATTTTTACGAATCAAAATAAAACTAATTAACACAACATGACATTGACTGCTAATAATAACAGCTCCTTCCATAGGCCAAAATAAAAAGCATTCCATTAGAGACGACGCCGCTGACCGGCGTCGCCAATAACATATTACAACTTAACTTCGTATAAAGAGACATCTTTATGAATTCTACCTATCTAACATTTATTTGGTCAAGGTCAACAGGCCATACAGTAAATGTGCATAGACATAGGGACTTCATTCTATCTGTTTACATGCATCTTCATATATACTCATATTCCTCTTTGTTAAACTGAGAGAACTGGCTTCCATAACTTTATGTCACTTTTATTTTGATGTTCGCTCAAGTTTCTTCAGCTAGAACTGTCATTTTTACATTTAAACGCACCCCTAGAAAAAAATTACGAAGCGAGTCGCTACTAGCTTTTTTAAAAGCTAACCTTGTATATTTTAAGGTAGTGGGAGATTCAGCTGTTCGAGGAACGCTAGCTGCCCTCCATGATGTGTCACGTGACCTCCCACAATGCCTGTCACCCTCTCATTGAAAACACAGCAGTATATTGATCCAGGTATGTAACAGAGTAAGTTAAAGTTAGTTAAACGGAAATGACGTAACAAACTGGACGCGACCGCCTTTTTGAATTTAAAAACCTCAGTAAGGACAAGCAAGCGTAGTATATTTAAGAGACATTTTCCACATAACTAAAACCCTACCTTATAAATGTATCGTAAAGTGGGCAAAATGTTCGTTCACCTTTCATTGATTTTATGATTAACTGATAACATAAGATAATTTCTATATCTTCGTTGACATAAACTTCTCTTTTGCTTCCTGATATATTGCTGTCTGTCGGATAATAACCATATATATTTCTGGCCGTCTGCTGATACAGGCCGTCTGCATCTGTGCTATATTGGCCTCTGATCATCATTTATTCCAGCTGTTTCATCGTCTGATTCACGCATTTGAACAGAGTGCACAGTCTGGTCCGCACTCCGCCAGGATTTGTGTTAATATCACACGTGTCTAGACGTCTAGGAGCTTGATTAAGCGATTGTTCGTGCCTGATCACAACCAGCTTATGTGATTTACAGTTTCTAGAGTGTTTTTCTCCAAGACAGCTGTCGGGTTATGTGGTCCTAAAACATTAATGCTGTCTTACTTTCTGACATGCAATATTTTATGATAACACCGTTTGTGTTTGATTCCCCCTATTCTATTCTTTGATGGTGTGTCTCAAGTGTCGTCTGTGAAATATTGTTCACACTAAGTTGCCCGTATGTTGCTTCCTTGTTTCCTGAAATAATATTCCGATATAATCAGTAAAATAAATAAATAAATAAATGTGGAAGAAGTAATAAAAAGTAATAAAAATTAATGAAATTATTCATTAGTGAATTTTACATTGCTGTACCCTATATCACTTAATGTATTAGATGGTATTATTCTGTTGGGATGGTTTTCACGTCGCACGAACACAGTCTAGTCGACTTTCCAGTTTTACTTGTGGAGGAAGACCTCAGGTGCCCATCCGTGCATTATTTCAGGCACAGACGGGCACCTAAGAACCACCGATGTTCCGTAAGCTAGCAGGATAGCTTCATCACATGAAAGAATCCAAAGTCTCTGTCGGGATTTAAACCTTTGATATTTATTTCAGAATAAAATATATCATATTGACCAATTCTTACGGAATTTATGAGTAGTATAGGGGTCTCTTTGGCATCACGACTGCGCATGCGCGACGCCATATTGGATTCTATATTTAGAATGACATCATCGTTCTATTCTTAGAATGTGATCATTCGTCTATTTTTAGAAATCTATTTTTAATCTCCCGGAAGTATACGGAGCTGACTCGTATACACGATCTTAGGGCTTGAATTGCGGACATTGAGGGTCAGGTCCTCGGCCCTAGACGGAGAGATAATTACCATTATGACAGATAAAAGAAATGTTTGTAAATAGATACGTACTTAACATTTTAATTTATAAAAAAATAGTTTTTTAATAGGTTCAAAATAATATTGATACAAATATAACTCGTTTACTTACCTACATTTAGTAAGGAAATGACTGTCATAGCGTAACGTTCTTGTAGACTGCGCATGATCTATTTTTAGTCGCGGTATTTCACAACCACCAGGAGCTATTTCATCAGCCCCACGCGGGTGTCAATGAAAGAAAAAGGCATTAAGTACAGTCGCCGCTCAGTCTAGATTCACAATACCTAGCGGCACTATGTTGAACAAAAACCCTTTTATCCTTCGTTACTAAATATAACTTTTTATTAATCACAAAAGAATCTATTATCCTTTCAAACGCAGCGACCGTCAAGTACAGTCGCCACTTAGTCTAGATTTACAATACCTAGCGGAACTATGTTGAACAAAAACCCTTTATCCTTCGTTACTAAATATAGCTTTTCATTAATCACAAAAGATTAATAGAATTGACGGACCTTTTCTGTTACGGTTGATAAACCGGAGGGGATGAATTAATTGAAATATGGACCAATGAAGATGGTTTATTTTTACAACGCATCAATGATAGACCTGACAGAATGCTTCAAAATAAACCCTAGGTTCTCGATTCGATTTTTAGCCGTTCTCGAGTTATGGCCAATTAGCGATTTTTAAACCAATTTTTCAAAGTTCATAAAACCCTTAGATTTATATGTTGTTTGAAAGATCTCTGCGAGTAGATACAGAAAATGTATTATTATATGGATCTATCTCTTACTATTTCTGAGATAGGAGAGTTTGGATATGGCAGACAAAATCACTCATGCGGAAAAACGCGCATAACTTTTTCGTTTATGAACGAAACATAGTCGTGTTTGGTATCAAATTGAAGGTCTTGACGAGTACATTCTGACGCTGGCGATAGTAAAGTTCATACTGGAAGTCAAAATCACTCATGCGTAAAAAATATATATTTTGGTTACTAGAGCAACCGAATCCGATATGATTTTTAATTGTTGACTACCAATTGAAAGAACAGTTCATTACCTTTAATGTACACCCCATTGTCGATTCGATTTTCAGCCGTTTTTGAGTTATGACGCAAGAGCGATTTTAAACCCTAAATTGCGAAAGTCAATAAAAACGTTACAACTGTTTTCCAATCGATTCGTCTCGTCGCGCTGATAAAGAAAATATATAGTTTTATGGGTTTATCTTTTACCGTTTTTGTGTAATTCGAGTTTAAAGTCATGGGAAGTGACGTCACAGAAATTTCAAAATCGATTTCTTCGTTATTACTTGACCGAATATATACGTGTTTGGTATCGTTGGAAAGCATTTTACCACACCTGTTACCTGACGCTATTTAAAAAGCCATTGGACCGGAACTGAAATCACTGAAGCGTAAAAACGTGTTTTCTGTACCACGCCTGGACCGATCTTAGGCGTGTTTCGTATCAAATGAAACGTCTTAAGCCGCTCTTTATGAATACGGACTAAAATCGAAATTAAAATCACTCATGCGTAAAAATCATTAAAATAACTAAAATAAGCTTACCCCCAGTCTTTACTCCTTGCCTATCAAACTATTTATGACAAGTTACTATAGCCTATCGTTAAACGGTCCAGTTACGACAGGTTTAAACCGGTATTGCTATTTTTGATTAGCCAATGAAATTGAAGAACGGTGACGTTTAAAAATAGACAGCCTCGTTTTGAACCCACTCTTTTTCATTAACCAATCAAAATGGAGAACGATGACGTTTTAAAAATAGACAGCCTCGTTTTGAACCCACTCTTTTTCATTAACCAATGAAAAGTGGAGAAGAATGACTGGATAAATTTTGACATAAAAAACGCCTTTTTGTCTTTTATGCAACACTTTACGATATCGATTTTCAAGATATTTGTTTCATTTGATAGACCTTACCAAATGCTTCAAAATAAACCCTAGGTTCTCGATTCGATTTTAAGCCGTTCTCGAGTTATGGCCCTTTAGCGATTTTTAAACCAATTTTCAAAGTCCATAAAACCGTGAAATGTATATGCCGTTTGAAAGATCTTTGCGAGCAGATACAGAAAATGTATTATTATATGGATCTATCTCTTACCGTTTCTGAGATAGGAGAGTTTGAATATGGCAGACAAAAGGACTCATGCGGGAAAACGCTCATAACTTTTTCGTTTATGAACGAAACATAGTCTTGTTTGGTATCAAATTGAAGGTCTTGACGAGTACATTTTACTTACGTGATCAAACCGGATGTTAAGTCACTCGTGCGTGAAATTCATTTATTCTCCCCAACCAACGGACCGATCTTATCAATACCTGTATCGAACGAAAGGTATTACTCACTAAATTCAGAAAATGTATATTTTTGTATCGCTGACTCGGATAGGACACGAGATATGAAGTAAAATCACTCAAGCGTAAAATGTTTATTTACGCCTTTATTAGTCAATATAACCCGGTCATGTTTGGTATCGTACGAAATGTTTTAAGGCGCTCTTTATGAATACGGACTAAAAATCACTAGTGCATAAACGCTCTATTTCTATTAAACATTCTTCATTGAAAATACTGTACTCGAAATATAAACTCAACTTACTGCGTAATGATGTTTACTCTTTGACGTCCAATCACCAAATGACTGAGGTCACCAGTGCGATACATCATACGCATGCGCTGATCTAAATTTAGAAATGACATTGTCCAATCTAACAGCAGTTGGTCTTTTCTTACGGACTGAATGTAACCAATCAAACAGAAGATTTATTTGACCAATGATTTTGGTCACGTGACTATTTATAACATAAATCGATGAATAATGTCATGCCAAAAATAGCAGCCAATCAGATTTAAATACGTGTGTATAAAAAAAGAATGTTTTTCTGCGTATATTTTATTACTGGAAACAGGATTTGTCTTCTATTTATCTCCTGCTCCTTCACCACCACCACCACCACCACCACCACCACCACCACCAGCGCCACCACCGCCGCCGCCGCCGTCGCCGCCGCCGCCGCCGTGGTGGTGGTGGTGGTGGTGGTGAAGGAGCAGGAGATAAATAGAAGACAAATCCTGTTTCCAGTAATAAAATATACGCAGAAAAACATTCTTTTTTTATACACACGTATTTAAATCTGATTGGCTGCTATTTTTGGCATGACATTATTCATCGATTTATGTTATAAATAGTCACGTGACCAAAATCATTGGTCAAATAAATCTTCTGTTTGATTGGTTACATTCAGTCCGTAAGAAAAGACCAACTGCTGTTAGATTGGACAATGTCATTTCTAAATTTAGATCAGCGCATGCGTATGATGTATCGCACTGGTGACCTCAGTCATTTGGTGATTGGACGTCAAAGAGTAAACATCATTACGCAGTAAGTTGAGTTTATATTTCGAGTACAGTATTTTCAATGAAGAATGTTTAATAGAAATAGAGCGTTTATGCACTAGTGATTTTTAGTCCGTATTCATAAAGAGCGCCTTAAAACATTTCGTACGATACCAAACATGACCGGGTTATATTGACTAATAAAGGCGTAAATAAACATTTTACGCTTGAGTGATTTTACTTCATATCTCGTGTCCTATCCGAGTCAGCGATACAAAAATATACATTTTCTGAATTTAGTGAGTAATACCTTTCGTTCGATACAGGTATTGATAAGATCGGTCCGTTGGTTGGGGAGAATAAATGAATTTCACGCACGAGTGACTTAACATCCGGTTTGATCACGTAAGTAAAATGTACTCGTCAAGACCTTCAATTTGATACCAAACAAGACTATGTTTTTCGTTCATAACCGAAAAAGTTATGCGCGTTTTTCCGCATGAGTGATTTTGTCTGCCATATTCAAACTCTCCTATCTCAGAAACGGTAAGAGATAGATCCATATAATAATACATTTTCTGTATCTACTCGTAGAGATCTTTCAAACGGTATATACATTTCACGGTTTTATGGACTTTAAAAAATTGGTTTAAAAATCGCTAAAGGGCCATAACTCGAGAACGGCTTAAAATCGAATCGAGAACCTAGGGTTTATTTTGAAGCATTTGGTAAGGTCTATCAAATGAAACAAATATCTTGAAAATCGATATCGTAAAGTGTTGCATAAAAGACAAAAAAAGGCGTTTTTTATGTCAAAATTTATCCAGTTATCCTTCTCCACTTTTCATTGGTTAATGAAAAAGAGTGGGTTCAAAACGAGGCTGTCTATTTTTAAACGTCATCGTTCTCCATTTTGATTGGTTAATGAAAAAGAGTGGGTTCAAAACGAGGCTGTCTATTTTTAAACGTCACCGTTCTTCAATTTCATTGGCTAATCAAAAATAGCAATACCGGTTTAAACCTGTCGTAACTGGACCGTTTAACGATAGGCTATAGTAACTTGTCATAAATAGTTTGATAGGCAAGGAGTAAAGACTGGGGGTAAGCTTATTTTAGTTATTTTAATGATTTTTACGCATGAGTGATTTTAATTTCGATTTTAGTCCGTATTCATAAAGAGCGGCTTAAGACGTTTCATTTGATACCAAACACGCCTAAGATCGGTCCAGGCGTGGTACAGAAAACACGTTTTTACGCTTCAGTGATTTCAGTTCCGGTCCAATGGCTTTTTAAATAGCGTCAGGTAACAGGTGTGGTAAAATGCTTTCCAACGATACCAAACACGTATATATTCGGTCAAGTAATAACGAAGAAATCGATTTTGAAATTTCTGTGACGTCACTTCCGGTGACTTTAAACTCGAATTACACAAAAACGGTAAAAGATAAACCCATAAAACTATATATTTTCTTTATCAGCGCGACGAGACGAATCGATTGGAAAACAGTTGTAACGTTTTTATTGACTTTCGCAATTTAGGGTTTAAAATCGCTCTTGCGTCATAACTCAAAAACGGCTGAAAATCGAATCGACAATGGGGTGTACATTAAAGGTAATGAACTGTTCTTTCAATTGGTAGTCAACAATTAAAAATCATATCGGATTCGGTTGCTCTAGTAACCAAAATATATATTTTTTACGCATGAGTGATTTTGACTTCCAGTATGAACTTTACTATCGCCAGCGTCAGAATGTACTCGTCAAGACCTTCAATTTGATACCAAACACGACTATGTTTCGTTCATAAACGAAAAAGTTATGCGCGTTTTTCCGCATGAGTGATTTTGTCTGCCATATTGAAACTCTCCTATCTCAGAAACAGTAAAAGATAGATCCATATAATAATACATTTTCTGTATCTACTCGCAGAGATCTTTCAAACGGCATATAAATCTAAGGGTTTTATGAACTTTGAAAAATTGGTTTAAAAATCGCTAATTGGCCATAACTCGAGAACGGCTAAAAATCGAATCGAGAACCTAGGGTTTATTTTGAAGCATTCTGTCAGGTCTATCATTGATGCGTTGTAAAAATAAACCATCTTCATTGGTCCATATTTCAATTAATTCATCCCCTCCGGTTTATCAACCGTAACAGAAAAGGTCCGTCAATTCTATTAATCTTTTGTGATTAATGAAAAGCTATATTTAGTAACGAAGGATAAAGGGTTTTTGTTCAACATAGTTCCGCTAGGTATTGTAAATCTAGACTAAGTGGCGACTGTACTTGACGGTCGCTGCGTTTGAAAGGATAATAAATTCTTTTGTGATTAATAAAAAGTTATATTTAGTAACGAAGGATAAAAGGGTTTTTGTTCAACATAGTGCCGCTAGGTATTGTAAATCTAGACTGAGCGGCGACTGTACTTAATGCCTTTTTCTTTCATTGACACCCGCGTGGGGCTGATGAAATAGCTCCTGGTGGTTGTGAAATACCGCGACTAAAAATAGATCATGCGCAGTCTACAAGAACGTTACGCTATGACAGTCATTTCCTTACTAAATGTAGGTAAGTAAACGAGTTATATTTGTATCAATATTATTTTGAACCTATTAAAAAACTATTTTTTTATAAATTAAAATGTTAAGTACGTATCTATTTACAAACATTTCTTTTATCTGTCATAATGGTAATTATCTCTCCGTCTAGGGCCGAGGACCTGACCTACAATGTCCGCGATTCAAGCCCTAAGATCGTGTATACGAGTCAGCTCCGTATACTTCCGGGAGATTAAAAATAGATTTCTAAAAATAGACGAATGATCACATTCTAAAAATAGAACGATGATGTCATTCTAAATATAGAATCCAATATGGCGTCGCGCATGCGCAGTCGTGATGCCAAAGAGACCCCTATACTACTTTTATGTAATTTAAAAAATATGCCGGAGAATGTCGGAGAATACCGATCTTACACGAACAATAAATCGGTACAATATTTAAATATTTACAGATGCCAACAAGATAGTGAGCAGTCTTCCAATTTTACATTCTGACTATAGTGCTCCAGACGAACATATAGTATTTCTGAGGAAATTCTTCCGATCCCACGATACTCAGACACTTATGAAGGTACCCCGTTGTTTTTTTTTTTGTTTTTTTTGGGGGGGGGGGATAATGTTTTCAAACCGAAATACAAATGTACAACCAAACTGTAAAAATCTACGCAAACAAGTATGACATGTATGAAGAAAAAAACATGATATTTGTGTTACATGTATTGCTTTTAAATTACAAGACAAATGTAAAGTTGTAAGCAAAGCCTTATGAAGAAAACCCATGATATTTGTGTTATTGTTTCTGAATCAAAATACAGCACAACTGTACGCAATTACTTATGAAGACAAGCTATGATATTTGTGTTATTGTTTTTGAAATACAACACAAATTTAAAACTGTACGCAGACACTTACGAAGAAAACCCATGATTTTTTTGTGTTATTGTTTTTAAAAATACTACGCAAATGTAAAATTGTACGCAATCACTAATGAAGAAAACCCTAGGTAAAGTTGGTAGTGTTTTCAAATATTTTCAAAATTTGCTTTGGTTCGCGGGTTGCGCTTGTATTTTAGAATTCGTATCAAGATATTTCTTGTCTGCGGATGCTCTTACTTGTTTCGTCTATACATTAATTTTCAAAGCTTGTTTGTTTTGTTTAGTTTTACGGCTAATCGACACAATTAAGGTCATATGGCGCCGAAACAGGAAACAAATGCTTTTGGCTAACCTCGGGTGTCACAAACTTAAACCAATACCAGATATTAAAACCATCTCACCTGCTGGAGCTAAGAAATGCAAATACTATTTAACAGCTTTATATTTATTTCAAATAAATGTACATGTATACGTTATCTTTTCTAGCCATTGTAATAATCTCAATATCTTTTCAACAGATTTTTAGAAAACTATACATGGTGGAATGTAGAAGATTGAGTCCTCTAACTAGAGCAGTTGTCTCCATAGCTGCAACCGTGAGTATGATGACGTCACACAGAGGATATTGAATGAGTGTAGGTTCAATACTGAATTTCTTGAACGAGTTGAATAAAATGATATTAGGTGAGCCTCAGTAATGAACCTACACGAACACAATATTTTATTATCACATACCCTAGGTAAAAATGTATGCACGGCCGTTCAATACCATTTTGACAGAGTCGTAACATCGGCATGGGTATGTGATAAGTTGTATAAATAAAATAAATAAATGAAAATAAAAAATAAATTAATTAATAAAAAAATAAGATATAAAACCTATTTAGAATCTTACCAGTTGCAATAACAACCAAAAACTTTTGTCTCCAAAAGGGGTGTTGCTCTGCAAAGGTTACACTGTGCATATTCTCCAATAGTACGAGTGATAAAATACATGCACTAATTTGTGTTGGTTCCCGGTTTCCTTTTTATTATTTATTGCAGGTCTATGGCAACATAAGAGCATGTGGACATGATATACATGTCACAGAGTTACTACAGATTCTTTCCAAACCAAACTTTCAGGTAACCATTGTTCAAATACGCCAGTGACCTATGCGTAAAATTGTAAATTTAGGTGTACACATTAGTTTTTTAATGCCTGCACAGGTCAAACATCAGCAGTTAGGGTTTAAATGCCAGTACGTATGTGTGCATTTTTTGCTTAGTAGTAAGAAAAAGGATGTAAGAATAAGTAAGAATACATGTATTTTGGGTAAATGTTAATGAACGGAGTTTTGAATTTAACTCACTACAGTGTTGGAGCAGTACCTCTAAACGCTGGCAGAAATCATGATCACAAAGTAGAAAAATATCGCTTTTTTTCTTGGATTTTTACATGTTTCATTTATTATAGTTTATAAATCGGTGTGAAGAGATGAGTAAGATATCTTAAAGTGCATTTCGGCGGATGAAAAGGTGTGATTTTAGCATTTAATCATTTGATCGCCTAGTCCGGTTTATACCGGAATACGGTATTTAGTGTGGTGCTCCTCTATGGATCTTTATTTTTCATTTCCACGCATCTCTCTTAACCTTTTTTTCACGAGAAGTACTTCTTGCACGAAGAAGGTGATCAATATTGTCGGCTTGTTTCTCCTTAATTCATTATTAGTGTCTTTGTACAGTGTCATGATTTGATTCCCCTGTGACTAATTGAGTCTGTCTCTGCCTTCCTTCTTCATTCCTAGATAAGCGTTAACATGTCATGTAACAACTAGATCATTCAGAAACACGGAATAAAATTCTTGATGAAATGTAAAATTCTTATTGTTTCCTGTTCAAGAGATGGTGGTGCGAACGAATTATATATATATATATATTTATATTATATATATTTATATAAATTATATATATTTTTATTTTCCCTATTTAATTGTGAGATTCATTACGAAGATATGCTTCCATTTTTAAACTTATTTTGACAAGACTTTCAAACAAATACAAATCTTACGGACGTTTTCTATCACGTGATCAATTACGTCATTTCAGGCGTTGCTTTACTGCCATGACAAAATAGCATCACGTGACTTTAGTCCACAGCTAAGTGAAGACTTTGATGCGCATAATGGAGACGAACAAACCGAACATGTTACTGTAATACAGTTTATAAAAACAAGCGAACCACTTGTGAGTATTCAATATCCGGTTTCCTTCTTTTTTCAAAAGCATATCATTCTTTTGTAAAGGAAATATTGCAAAGTTACATTCACATTTACTTGGTCATTTAGTAATTAGACATTATTTTTCGAATTGACGACTGAGCGTATGCTATGACGTGGAAATTTACTTTTGTGCAACAGTTCTAAAAAGTGTATGTTTATTATAACAATTAGCAGCAGAAATTTTAATTACTGTTCGCAGCAGACGAGAAATTTTCATTTTAATTGTTAGCTGAACGAATCTATCATTTTATTCACCTCCGTATTTTTATTACAACTTGAGATCCTGTATGTTATTAAGTTTGTTACCACACTTAAGTGAAATTTTATATATATGCTTCTAAAACAGTTTTTAAATATCGAAGAATATGTAAAATAATTATGTACTTCAAATATTTGTCCACGTTATATGTAATCATTTAAATATATGCATTCATTTCTTATTGAAAAAATTGACTTAGACTTAATAGAAAATAAATTTCTAATTACCTCCGTATATTAACATGAAATGTAAATTCGGATATATCTTTACAATAATGCTTTTTGGAACTGGCAATATTGACCAATCTCCATTTGAGCATTATATTTAAGATATAAAACCATAAAAAAATTGTGTTTCAGGATCTTTAAAACAATTAAACATCCTCAAAAATCACCTTCCAAGTTATCTTGATCGGCATACAGCTATTCTCCCAACCACAGAGTCATCTCTCCTTTCAATAATTATTTAACCCAGATATTCGTTTTTCTTCTTCCCAGGGTGCAACTTTACAATACAACGACGAGACGGGTTCTTTACAAATAGCAAGAATCATGGTCGGCGGGGCAGCTGATAGAAGTGGTTTGTTACTTTGTCTTAACCGATTTAGGCCTTTGAAAACAGAATTATAGAAAAAAGTTGCATGTGGCGTTCCATAGCTTTTATTTTGTCCATATAAAATAGAAATACATATGTATAAACATCAAAAATCTTTTCAATGTCCATAATTTATTAAAAAACAAGCAGGTTGTCGTTTAGTGGAGGTTTAAGTTAGGGAAATTATTTGTTATAAACCTTCAAGTTTCTTTTTTTCAAACTTAATGCAATAATATTGAGTATACTAATATTGTACTAATGTGGGAGTAAGAAGGGTTAAAAGTATAAAGTTCTTTATGATATTTTATATTTTAGGGTTGTTACATATTGGTGATGAGATTTTAGAAGTTGCTGGTAATAGTGTCCGAGATAAGACACCGGATGAAGTTGTACAAATGCTGGTGAGTTTTACCATCTATGTTTTGTATACAAAATATACTTGAATTCGAATGGTAGGATTTTCTGTTCTAAATCAAAGCACTGCAGGCACTGGAAAAAAATCTTGAAAAAAAGAGTGATCCCTCGGATGCAATGGAAATATCAATTGTTATATATATTATAACAATATAAGAATTGCAGACTCTGTTTGATTGAAATCCAGCTATACATTTGAGTAAAAAAAAACACATGTCAGAGAGCAACTGTAAACAGTTAAATTTGATAGTAACTTTTCGACGATATTTAACACAGTTATGTATTAAAGTCGCGGTGTTCCGACTAAAAAGGTGTCTCGTTTTAACATGTTTATGCGCGTATAAAATGTCTTCACTTTTGATTGTTATAAAAATTATAATTATTTAATATGATTCTATTGCCACGTGAGGAACTTTGTGCATTAACTAAAACCAGTTCCACATGCTGGCCTGGTTTAAATAAAGATACCATTATTTCTTATATCATTTTTCCCAACCATCTTCCTGTAGAAATTGCTTTTTTAAAACTGATTATTGTAATCTAATTGAGGGAAAAAACACAAACTTAAATTTTCATAAATGTAAAAAATTTGGGTTAAATTTAAATCGTAAAAACCCTTAAAATTTATATTGTGCTTTAAAAAATTTTTTAATTAAAATTTTAAAACAAAATAAATGTTCTTGAAAATGCCAAAAAAACAAATTTTTTTTTAAAGGCGTGAAGTCAGATTTTCTCCTCATTTTTTAATTTTTTTTAAAAATTGGCCTTTTTTTGGAGATTAATTTTTTAAAACCCCTATTTTCTCTGAAAAGGGCACGTATGCCATGTGTGTTATTTCTTCGAGACGATATTGGTTTTTGCTGGGAAAAGTGGGAAAATAAATTTAAATTTGAACCCCGAAACTTTATATTTTTATAGCTTTTAAAAGAGATGTTAAAATATAAACCAAAAAGGCATGCTTTATCCATATACCAAACACGACTAAGAGGTTAGAAATCAGCATATTGGAGGAAATATTAAGTTATTGTCCGTAATATTAGAAAGCATCTGTCAGTTCAATATTAAATGCATGTACATGATAGCAGACATTTATATGATATCATTATTTCACTCTGGATAAACAAAGTTAATAACTTTCAGTATATATCCCGTGTATAAAAATGTAAGTTATGAAACAGAATATTAATTAAAGACATTATCAGAGAAAACTGAAATAAAAAATGATTTCATTTGAACATATTTTTTTTAATTAAGGACACTTTAAAAAAGAAGTACAACTTGAGATGGTCCATCTTTATGAGAAAATACATTTACGGAAACTGCAACCACAAAGGTCGAGTGATTAATTTTAAGCAACCAAGGCTAACTTGAAATTCAAAACACCTTAATGTGCAGTGCAAAAAAAATGAAAAATTTTACCAAAGAAAATATGGTAAAACCTTTAGGGATTATTCTTGAACTTACCAGTAAAGTTATGTTCTTGCCATGAAATATTTTTGTTTGTTTTTGGATATTCAGGGCAAGATGACTGGTTCGATCTCAATGAAAATTGTCTCAGGGGCTAGTAGGCTTGTCACACTCAGAGAAAGTAAGGTAAGATTAGAGGTCAAGGTATTTTTTGTAATTAATTTTTATCAATCAATAATGAACATGTATGCGAGCCGCCATATTTGGTATTTTCTCAAATAATGATGTCAAAGGGGAAAACACCATCCCACGTGACATAAATTTACTAAAAATAGTTATTACCGATACAAGAACGCGGTTTTGGGTTTAATATCCAACATTAATCGGTTTTTATTGGTTCATAAGAATTCATAATCATCAAACTTATATGATATAAATCAAATAAAGAAATCATTTTCCACAATATCTAAGATTTTAAGCGGATAATGTAAAATGGTAGGATCCTATGTCATCGCTCACCTGCAAACTGCTGTAATGGAGAATTTAAATTATAGCATACTAATATACTTTTCGTTAATTTGGATTTAAAACAAGTTCTAGTTGACATTTTGTAATCATTATATGTTATTTATTTATATTTTGAGATGAGAGTGCGAGCATTCTTTGATTATAATCCAATAAATGACGTGTTGAATCCATGTCCCGATGCTGGGTTGAACTTTTGTCGAGGGGAGGTCTTGCACATTGTGAGTCAAGACGACCCCTGGTGGTGGCAAGCACGAAAGGAGGGGGAGCTAACTGGTAAAACCGGACTCATACCTGCGAGGCAGCTTCAAGAAAGGTTTGAACTTAATTGAGATACTTAAAAAACTAATTAAGGAAACCAACTAGTAGGGATTGAAGCTTAATGTGATGTTACTTATGCATCAAAGCGGAAATGATTACAAATGGCTCAAGCTTATGGACATTTAGTGCCTGTTTGGAACACACCTTTAAGAGTGTGATAATGATAGCATTTTTGCAGCTTTACGGGCCTTTAAGAATACATAACAGTCGTTTCATTTTTTGAGTTTGTATACATTTGAATCATTTATTGACAACGTTTTATTGCATATTTTAGGACTGAAATGATGAAGCGTTACCATAGCGACGAAGATTTACGTGACTGTACAGGGCGCTCTTCTCGTAAGTCTTTGTTATTTGCCGATTCATGAGGCAAAATAATTACGACTTTCGTTAATTAGTAAGCATTTTCTTGTTTAAAATTCAGCGTGTTCTGTAAACTAAAATTCTAGTTACCAAATTTTGAAAAACTTACGATCGAAATTTCATATTGTTTTTGTCTAGATTTGATTTTTTATTTTATATTAGGTGGAACAAGTCCGTGTCGAACTAGCCGTAAAGTTAAAAATCCGCCGTATTTTGTAAACTAAAATCCTAGATACTCAAAATTTGAAAACTTATGATCGAAATTGCATGCATATTGGTTCTTGTCTAAATTTCATTTTTTATTTTTTTATTAGGTGGAACAAGTCCGTGTCGAATAAGCCCTAAAGTACCTCGATCCCGAAGAATAAAGAAAACGATGTATCAGGCGCAGCACAGTGGAGGTACACCTGAGATCTACCGTAGAGGTATCATCTACCTCTACATGATTTCTTTACATAATATCTTTAATATGTATATCTACATATAATATGTACCTCTACATGATTTCTTTACAAAATTTATTTAATATTTACTTCTACATGATTTCTTTACACGATATCTTTATTCTACATAATTTATTTACAAATATATATTTAATATCAACCTCTACATAATTTCTTTAAATAATATCTTTAATATCTACGTTTACATTATTTTTTTACATAATATCTTTAATATCAGCCTCGATAAGATACCTTTACATGATTTCTTTATGTAATACCTTTAATATATACCTCTACATGATTTATTTATATTATAATATTTTGAATATCTATCTCTACATGATTTCTTTACATGATATTTTAATATCAACCTCTACATGATTTCTTTACATAATATCTTTAACATCAACCTCTACATGATTTATCTACAAATATATATTTGATATCAACCTCGATGTGATTTCTTTACATTATATCTTAAATTACAATCTCAACACGATACAATTACATAATACTTTATCATCTACCTCTACATGACTCCTTTACATAATATCTATACTATCTAGCCCCTAATGGTTTCTTAACATTATATAATTTTAACGCATTTTTAATAATATATTTAATATCATCTCTCCATGATTTCTTTACATAATATATCTAATATCTACCTCTACATGATTTCTGTACATAATATCTTTAATATGTACCTCTACATGATTTCTTTACATAATATCCTTAATATCTACCTTTACATGATTTCTTTACATAATATTTTACATGATTTCTTTACATGATATCTTTAATATCAACCTCTACATAATTTCTTTTAATAATATCTTTGATATCTACCTCTATATGATTTCTTTACATAATATCTTAAATGTCTACCTCTACATAATTTCTTTACATAATATCTTTCATATGTACCTCTACATGATTTCTTTACATAATATCTTTAATATCAACCTCTACATAATTTCTTTTAATAATATCTTTGATATCTACCTCTAGATGATTTCTTTACATAATATCTTTAATATCAACCTCTACATAATTTCTTTTAATAATATCTTTGATATCTACCTCTACATGATTTCATTACAAAATATATTTAATATCTACAAACATTTCTACTGGTTTTATCTATATATGTAATACTTACAGAAAATATGCCCACTGTAAACCAATCCACTTTAATGCAAAAGTAATAGTGAATAAATAAAAAGGCAAAAATCAATGAAAGTTTATAATGTTTGCATATGCTGCTAAAAATGATAAAAATGATAAAATTTATACATGTATTTGAAGAAAAAACAACGTTGATTTTCTTTTTCAGAATACGACATTGAAGATATCCCAACATACGAAGAGGTGGAGCTTTTCCAACCCCCACACGACAGATTCCGTCCAGTAGTTCTTATAGGTAGGGAGTTTGATATAATTATAAGCATGCAGAAAATTTTTCGGTACATTATTGTAGCCCATGACACGATGGTTTTTATGAAGTTTTGTGTCTTTAAAATACATGCACAATCATATGACCTATTCCCCACCACAAAAAACAACACACAAACAAACACAAAAATATGATAATAGATAAACAAATGGGAGAGGACACTCATGAGCTATATAGCTTTCTGCACAATCCCAAAATGTACTTTGTAAATATTGTTCACTTGTTAAATGTTTTGATGAATAAATATGTTTAAATCAAATGTATTTTGTACTATATAAAATAACAAATATATGACAAGTATTTATGAGCCGCGTCACGACAAAACCAACATAGTGCGTTTGCGACCAGCATGGATCCAGACCAGCCTGCGCATCCGCGCAGTCTGATCAGGATCCATGCTGTTCGCTGTCAGTTTCTCCACTTGTAATAGAGTTGGTAAGCGAACAGCATGGATCCTGATCAGACTGCGCAGATGCGCAGGCTGGTCTGGATCCATGCTGGTCGCAAACCCATTATGTTGGTTTTGTCATGACGCGGCTCATGTATATGTTGTCAAGTAGGTACCAGTCATTTTGTGTATTATATTTGTGAGCAGGTCCACCCGGAGCTGGAAGAAATGAATTAAAGAGACGCGTGATGACGTATGCCCCGGATACTTTCGAGGAAGTTGTACCTTGTTAGTAAGCATTCCGATTTTACAAATCAAACCTACGTTTCTGAAATAGTAAAATTATTGTTAGTAAGCATTCCGATTTTACAAATCAAACCTACGTTTATGAAAATAGTAAAATCAATACCTTGTTAGTAAGCATTCCGATTTTAAAAATCAAACCTTCGTTTCTGAAAATAGTAAAAATCAATGAAAGATGTGCATTCCGAATTTACAAATCAAACTTACGTTTCTGAAATAGTAAAATCGTTGCAAGTTGTGCATTCAGATTTTACAAATCAAATCTTCGTTTCTGAAAATAGTAAAACAAATCATTGCAAGTTGTGCAATCCGATTTTACAAATCAAACCTTCGTTTCTGAAAAGTAAAAATCATTGCTTGTGTTTAAGGACCGATTTTACAAATCAAACCTACGTTTGTGAAATAGTGAAAAAGCATTGCAAGTTGTGCATTCCGATTTTACAAATCAAACCTTCGTTTCTGAAAATAGTTAAACAATCATTGCAAGTTGTGCATTCCGATTTTACAAATCAAACCTTCGTTTCTGAAATAGTAAAATCATTGAAAGTTGTGCATTCAGATTTTACAAATCAAACCTTCTTTTCTGAAACAGTAAAATCGTTGAAAGTTGTGCATTCCGATTTTACAAATGAAACCTTCGTTTATGAAATAGTAAAAAATCATTGTTAGTAAGCATTCTGATTTTACAAATTTAACCTTCGTTTCTGAAATAGTTAAAACGTTGAAAGTTGTGCATTCCGATTTTACAAATCAAACCTTCTTTTCTAAAATAGTAAAATCGTTGAAAGTTGTGCATTCCGATTTTACAAATCAAACCTTCTTTCATTGCAAGTTGTGCATTCCGATTTTACAAATCAAACCTTCGTTTTTCTGAAAAGTAAAAATCATTGCTTGTGCCACAGGATATTAATGATAATATAAAAATAAGCCCTATATACATGTAGTATATTTTTATATGAAATATTGAGACAAATTGATGAAATAAAATAAATCCATATTTTCATTTTCCGTGTTTTCACTGTTAAAAACTTATTTTTCACTGTAAAAAACAACATTTTTCACTGCTATGAAACATGCTTGCCGGACTACTTTTTTCTAAATTCTGCCAATACACAAAATTCAAGGGGAAATCTGTCAAATTGTAATGTAAAAAATGTATATAATAAACAGAAAATTCAAGTTTTTATTATAAATACAGGATTTATAATCATCTTGTGGTATTAAAATTACCATATTTCTCCCGTGTCTACCGTTACTCATGAAATGTTTATTTTCATACCACTCGATGAAAATAAATCCTGTTTTTATAGAAAAAAAACTTAATTATCCTCTATGCATTTTTTGAAATGACAAGGTCGATACCTATATTCCGACCAAAATGTATGTTGCAAATTTTTTTTCAAATGGAATGAACTATAATCTTGAACTACAATATTTTAACGTGTGACTGTAAAAATGTATGTTACTTATCCTTCTTTGACGTGTATGGATTCGATCCCCGGGAGATGCTTTGGTAGTTTAGCGCGGAGGAAGGTAGTCTAGTACTAGTGTAATTCTCCAGGAACGATGGTTAGGAAACTACCCGCCTATATGACTGAAATACTGTTGGGGAAAAGGCGTAAAATGAAACAAACAAACAAACGTGTAAGGACGATGCTGTTTGAGGTTATTCTACTAAAAATACTTTTGTTTCTATTTTATTTTTCCAACAAGACACAAGCCGGAAGCGGAAACAACACGAGCAAGATTCGAGGGAGTACCATTTTGTGCCTCGCGAGGAGATGGAGCGAGGGATTATCAATCACAAGTAAGTCATGCACGAGAATCTCGTGCAAAAAAGAAGAGAAAAAATAATGAAAGTATTTATTTTTTTTGCTTGCTTTACTGATCAATCAATGAAAGTCGTAAGTGTTCCGCCATTAAAAAAAACATTTAAAAAAAAGGAAAAGTGACTAAAAATGATGAACAATTTATTAAAGATATAAATGTAAAGAAATATCTGATCATTAAAAAGCATTCATTTCATACCAAACATTTTTAGGCCTGCATCAGTAAAATATGATTTTTAACTCTTTTCAGATTCTTTACTAAGGACAATCTATTACTGTGTGTACCCATGACTGGAACATTCGAAACCTAAGTATTAGACCGAGCTCTCAAGTCGCATAGCAAATAAAGAAATTATCCGAAAGACATTATCCAATTATTATATTTTCTCTCTCCAGATTTGTAGAGTTTGGTGAATTTAAAGGGAATCTGTACGGTACGAGTTATGCGTCAATTCGGTCAGTGATTCAGTCCGGAAGAATCTGCTTATTAACTCCTCATACACAGGTCAGTATATATGTGATTTTATATGTAACACATATGTTACATTGATCCGCTTTGTGCCTTCTCTCCAGACAATGTATGTAGCCTGTGCTATAATGAAGGTTCATCCGCCCGTTGAGGCCCAAAAAACACCCTTCCCTGTTGAGTAGGGTCTCCGGACATGTCACCTATCATGCCCTTAAAGAGTTAATTTTGAAGAATTTACCTCCATGCAATTTTAAGGTATATTAGCCAAAGATATGAGTTTTGAACCGAAAGTAGTTCACTGTCGTCCGGTCAATGATCACCTGAAAAGGAAGAGCTAGTTGTGCCATCAAAGGGCGCCGCTGTTCAGGCCGTCCCATCGTTCTATGGCTTCACGAACCTTGTTGCCTTTCTCGTCACCCCTGCCACATTTGTGGGCCACTCTCCTCGTCTTTAGTTAGGACATTTACTGTTAACTTTATAATGAAGAAGTCAAGAAAGAAAAATAATTTTATTCATCTAATAAGGGAGACTATACATATGTGAATTTTCAATTTATAGTATTTATTATCTCCCTTGATATGTGAGGGGAGGGGGTGAAGGGGTATAGAGATCCTCCAGAAACGCTGTTTTGAAGAAGGCTTAACAGTGATATGATACGTTTTTTTCGATAGAAAATTAATGAAATACGTTGTTACTTAGTTTGAAACAATATAGAATTGTTTTTTCCAACAGAAAATAAAAGCTCAAGACCACTTTTAACAAGTGAAGAAAACTACCAATATATCATTAAAAAATGGCTACATACTTACCCGCTTAAAAATTAGTGTGTAGCGCAACTGAAATTTCATGATTTTTTAACGATGGCCTCTTTGAAAATCCGTTGTCGACTTATAGCAATGCTTCAATTCTTTATATTATCCTCCATTTTCATTTATTTATTTTTCCTTTAAAAAAAGAATTTAAAGGATGAATTTAACTTTCAGGCTTTGAAATTTTTGCGATCAGCAGAAATCAAGCCATTTGTCATATACATCAAGCCGCCGCCATTAGAGGTTCTCCGAATGACTCGTAGACAAAATAGAGCGATGAAAACATTAGAAGGCGGAATGACCCGTCTTCTTACAGTATGTTATCTTTTGTCTTCTAATATAAAATTAGCTATAAAGATTTTTGACAGAGTATATTTTTATGTAAGGTAGTATTTTCGTTTATGGTGTAGAAATACATTGTAATTTGTGCGTGCTTCGGTTCTTTACGGCATATACGACATAGTTTACAATGTTTAAGCCAATCACAATTCGAGAAATTTATTTTTCATTATTATAAATGGTCATATAACCGGTTAAGAATCTTTTATAACAAATTCATGTTTTAGTAGAGAAATAAGATAGAAATAACTCGAATAAGTAACAAAATAATCAAAAACAGCCGTGTATATAGATAATATAAACTTCACGATTAACCAATGGAAAGCAACGTTATAAACGTGCAGTATACAATGAAAATAGACGTTGCAAAAGAAGCACAGTTATAATAGAAGTTAATTCCTTTGACAGAATGTTAAATGACTAACGTTTGAAGACAAAAACTATTCAGCGCTTATTCAAAAGTACATTTTTTTTATTTTGATATGTTTTCATAATATTTCATTTTCGTGATAAATCTGGATGCGTCGAGTTAATAGAAAAACTTAAATCGCCAT